AATGACTAAGGAGCAATGATGTCAGTTTAAGGACTGAGGTGCACCTTATTTGGGCCATAATATTTTCAGTTGCTTACTGTGCAACTGAGACCCAGACAATGAATAAAGATGACAGAGGAAGAATTGATGCTTTTGAGTTCTAGTGTCGGAGAAGAGTGTTGAACATCCCCTTGTACTGTCAAAAGAATAGATAGGTCTTGGAGAAAGTGCAGTCAGAGTGTTCCTTGGAAGCAAGGGTGATAAAGCTTTGTCTCATATATTTCAGCATGTTGTTAGGAGAGGTTATTCCTTGGAGAGGGACCTCATGCTTGGAAAGGTGGAGCATCAGGGAAAGAGAGAAAGACCTTCAACCAGGTGGATCGACATGGTGACTGCTCCAACAGTCTTGAATATGTCAGAGATTGTGAGAACAGTACGGGATAGGATAGGATTCAGATCTGCTGTTCCTAGGGCCACTCTGAGTCATACTTGCTTCAACGGTACACTACAACAACAGGCCACTCCAGGGGGGAAGACGTGTCAGTCTGATTTCATAGAGATTTATCCATTGCCATAGAGTCACAGCAGCCCTAAGGAACAGAGGGGAACCACTCCATCAACTTTGCAAGGCTTCTCATCTTTGCCAACAGATTGCCACATCTTTCTCCCACGGAGTGACTGGTGAGTCCCAGCCAACAACCTTTTAACCAAGCATTTAACCATTGCAGCCACCAAAGTGCCTTCTCTAAATATTTCTAAGCTTGGAAACACTATATAAGGCAGCTTTATTCCATCTTACAGAAAAGCTATGCAAGGGATCAACAAAATGGCAATAGGTTTAGGTTTCTCTGTTTAGTCAAGGAGCCTTGGTGGCACGGTGGGTAAGTCCTTAGCTACTCCAAAGGTCTTAAGTTTGAACCCACAAGCCCCTTTGCAGAAGAGAGGTGGAGCAGTCTGTTTCCATAAATATTTACAATGCTATAAACACTGTGGCCATAACTTTCCTATGAACTGGAATTGACTCCATGGCAATGGATGTTTTTATAATCATTCAGCCCTTGTTTATCAGATATTTACTATGTTGCAAACCCTGTACTAGGTCTTAAAGATACAGTGGTGAATGAGACACAGCTATTCACCTTTAAAGGCTCACAGGTCCATAAAGAAGACAGCGCTGTAACACAATAAAGTGCTAGAAATGTGATGCTTTTCTTGATCTGAATTGTGTGACAGGGGATGCAAAGCAGGGAGATTCTGGGAACCACTTTGGAAATGGGGAGCAGGTAACAACATGTCCACTTTACAGGTGGTAAAACTGAGACTCAAGATAGCTGAGTCGTTCAGTCATGAGATTACCAATATCCGGGTCAGCCTGTGCCCCAGGCTGTTCCATCCCCAGAAGTCTCTGTTCCCTCCCTGCTGGCAGCCTAGAAGCTGTCACCTTCCTCCCCCATTCCCTTTCCTTTTCTCAATGATTATCTGGCCAGAAGATTAATCAAATGCTGCTAAAGCTGCAGCCGCTGTCAGCGGCTAAGATGTGAGTAGCTTCTGTGGGCAAATAGGAGCTTTCCAAGCCTCTTCTGCTTGATTCTTTTTGAACAGAAAGGTTCAGGGGTTGGTCTGAAGAAAGGTGGGGAAGATGAGAAGTAGGGCTCTGTCTCCAACCAGAAGGGACTTTTCAGATAGGTCAAAAACAACCAAGGTGACAGAGGAAGCACAGGCAGCCTCTCAGGCGCATATGACCTACAACTCAAACTTCTCATCACTCCCCCCAAAAGTTCTGTTTCTGTTAAGTGTCATTAAGTCCATTTTAGCTTAAAGTGTCCCCATGGACATTGGGAGCAAAACACAGCCTGGTTCTACACCATCGCCACAATCATTGCTCTGTTGAATTCCATCATCACAGGCCCCTTGTCAATCCATCTCATCTCTTCTCCTCCTCCTCTTTTTCACTGACCCTCTACTTCTTCAATCTTCATGTCTTTTCCTAGGAACAAATCTCTCAGATAGTATGTCCATGGTAGGTGAGATGAAATCTCACCATCCTTGATTTTTAAGGCGCATCCTGGCTGTACTTCTTACAAGTATATTTGTTCACTCTTCTAGCAATCCATGGTACATTCAATGTACCATCAATGTACCATCAGCACCTTAATTCAGTCATCAGTTATTTTTCAACGTCTTCCTTATTCATGTTCTATCTAAAAGGCCTTGGTACCTGCCCCCCATTTTTTCCCTCCAGGACAGCAGACAAGAAATCATCCACCTGAACCACTGAGCTTGTTAAGTTTCCTGCTGAGTGATATTAACAGGTCAACCTCTTCCCCCTTCCCATCCACTTAGGACAAGACACCAAAGTAGAGAAATCTCAGTGCACAGATATGACACTTGCTATATCCTCAAAGGCCTTAGCTGGACTCTTGGTTTTGTTCTCTGGACTCCAGGAACCTCTCCCAGGTGCCAAGTCACAGCATATACCACACAGAGCCCTTTGCCCACCCCCAGCCCACTCCAGGAGAGAGATAAAGTGGAGAAGGCACGCTACATGCAGAGTAGAGAAACAGGTTGTTTGTTCTGAACCAACAAGAAAGTGATGGCTGTACCTGCAGACTAACTCCAAACCAAGGGAAAGAAGTCAGACAAGGGCTTTACACCAAAGAACGTCTGTTTTTAATTCTGTCTCCTTTTAGCTAGTACTCTGTGATAGTCACCAGACCACTCAGAAATTGCCAAGCACACACTCTTTGGGGAGGGGTGAAGGAGAGAGTGAGAGAGAGAGTATGAAACAGCTAAGTTATGAAATCAAAACCTTCCTACCACTGCAATTGACCTATCAAATGCACACTCCTCTCAGAAACCCTAAAAAAAAAAAAATTAAAACATCTCACCCAGATCCAGACTTACACACTTCCACTCACCAAACTAGGAAAACTGTGCTTCTTTAATCCAGAGGTCGCATTAAGAAAAAGTTGCATGTAAGAAATAGGAGGTAGCACTGTAATTAACTCAGGGTAGACTATCCTGAGTCAGAAGGGAGGATTATGATGTAGTTCTATGTTCACAGCAGGGAGACTTATTTATAATTTTTTTTCCTCCCCTCTATCTTCCAGTGCAGTTTATAAAAATACAGGAAACTTCCAAGGATTCCTATCCCACCCACTTCCTCTGCAAATATATTTATCCTTGGGATGAAAATCATTGCCCAGACCCAGACACCAGTCACCCTATGCACCCTTTCCCATGAATAATCTTTCCAAAATGTCTGCTTGTAGGAGCAAGATTTGGGATTTTTCACGGAAAACTACAGAGACACAGACAGTGCAAGGCATATCTCCTGTGAGAGAGAGAGAGACAAAGAGACGAGAGGGAAACAACCAAAAGAAGATACATCCAACTGTGCCAGAGAAAGAAAACAAACCTGCCTCCCCCCTCCCCGCCAAGCAGCAAAGTGATTATTTAAAAAACACATAGAGACCGTCTTTGTAATTACCCATCCAGGTTATATTTTCGCCGCCTTCCAGGCAGGGAAGAGGCTGGTGGAAGTTTTGTGCCCGTCTGATTGTGATGAGAGGATTGTATTTGAAGCTCTGGGCACGTAGAGATGGAATGAGAAGGAGGGTGAATTGGAAGAAAAAGCAAGGCGGGGGGGGGGGGGGGGGGGGGGGAAACAAAAACGCCCAGCTAAGCAGCACCGACGTCTTCATGATCATCTTCACCTTGAAGTTCTTGGGCGAGACTGCATCGGGTAGCGGCGGGCGGGAGGGAAGAGGAGAGAGAGAGAGTGTGTGAGAGGGAGAGGGAGCGAGCTATCTCTAGCTACGCCTTCCTCTGCGCTCCCGGAGCCCGGAGGAGCGCTCTTTCAGGATTTGGGAGAGGGGGAGAGAGAGACCACCCCTGCCCAGCTCCGGCCTGGCTGCCCCGGAGGGGAGGGAGGACTCTGGCCCGCGCCCCCTGCCTGGCAGGCCGCCCTGGGAGCGGGGCGCGCGCGCGGAGCAGGCGGCGCAGGGAGCTGTCCAGTTCAGCACCACCCGGGAATGCAGGGAGCTGTCCAGTTCAGCACCAGCGGGTAATGCAGGGAGCTGTCCAGTTCAGCACCAGCGGGTAATGCAGGGAGCTGTCCAGTTCAGCACCAGCGGGTAATGCAGTAGGTGGGAGCGCCTCCGCCGGGGGGCCGAGCCGGCAGGGCGTGTGGGGGGGCAGGCGGGCGGCCCATCCTGCAGCAAGACGCCGGCTCCCTCGTTTCCAGGAGCTTTGCAGATAGGGGGAGGGAAACCCGCCTCGATTCTCCGGGAGAAACCCCCTCCCTCCCCCACTTCGCCAACACTACCCCTGCCGCCACCAACAATAACCACCACCGCCGCCGCTGCTCGTCCTGCCGCCGCCGCCGCGCCTGCCCGCCCTGCTGCCGCCGCCGCCGCCGCCGCTGCCGGGCAAAACCATGGAAGGCGAGACCCTCGCACCTGTTCAGCTGACATCAAGGGCTTACAGAATACTGGGAAGTCTGGTCTGAAACGAAAGCGCCTGAGACCCTCCCCAAGGAAGAGAACTGGGGAAGCCAAGGATTTTCATGGCGCAGGCCGCAGAGCCGAGAACGAAGACGGAAGGTTGCATCTCAGCTCTTACAATCTCTAACTCTCTAGGTCCCGACCATGAGAGATTGTGTTGAGAATGCAGCTGTTCACTGGTTCACTGTGGAAGCCATCTCCAAATTAGCTATCACATATGGAAACTGGAGACCAGAATTTTAGGAAAAGAGATTAAGGCATCTCGCTTGGGGGGGTGGGGGGTGTCTTTTTATTTTTATTTTTTTTCCTTCCTTTTTTTAAAACAACAACACTGCAACTGGAACAGTTTCTGATCTCAAAAGGCAAGCCTCTCTTCCCGTGTGATCTTTATAATTTACACTCTTTTCCGTGAGCTTTCTTACCTCCCTTTTTTATATATCTCTCCATTTTCTCTAGTCACACATAACCCCCGTTCTCTTCGGAGTGGAATTATTTTTTATTTTCATTTTTTGCTTAGTACTCACACCCTCACACACACTCTCCGGTTAACCAGAAGTCGGTTGGGTGTTTATATAATGAAGAATTATGGGGCTCTTTGATCGAGGTGTTCAAATGCTTTTAACCACCGTTGGTGCTTTCGCCGCCTTCAGCCTGATGACCATAGCTGTGGGAACCGACTATTGGCTCTACTCCAGAGGGGTTTGCAAGACGAAAAGTGTAAGCGAGAATGAAACCAGCAAAAAGAACGAGGAAGTTATGACCCACTCTGGATTATGGAGAACCTGCTGCCTAGAAGGTATTTGATTTCCCATCTCCTCCCCCCTCTCCACCCCCACCCCCCTCACTCCCCCTCCCCACCCTCCTCCAATAAGTCCCTTTTACATTCCACCATTTTCTTACTTCACTCCTTCCACCACTGATCAAGGTTGGTTGGGCTAGTTTCAGAGGAAAGAAAATCAATAAGCAGAAGCTACATACTCTACTCTCTCACCTTCGCCTCCCTCCATTCCCCCAAACCTCTTCACTTGGAATCATCTGTGATAGAATGAAAACAAGGGATTGTCTTTAAAAGTCAAATGAGCTCTGCCTGCTTCTGAATCATTAGGATTTGCCATTTGGTTGAATGTTGCCATCTAAATAATTGCTTCCCTAAACACTGTTCCTCTTCTCATAATGAAGAATTTTTAAAATACTTTTCCTTTCCCCTTCCGTCTTCCCCTTACTCTCTAAAAGTCCCAGACACATCATCATCTGCAAATCTCCCCTTTTAAAAAAAAAAAGAAAAAAGAAAATCTGTTATTTCTAAGAATCCTTATTTGGTAAATCCTAATTATTCCAGGATCTCAAGCTGAGTTCAAGAGCATTTCGTAATGTCTATGAGCCACCCAGATCATTCGAGGTGGCTGGTTGCGTGTGTATGTGTGTGTTTTAACGTTTTACGAAGTCTAAAAATACATACGTCTCTCACAGGAAACAAGCTCAAGTTCTGATAAACAGCAATTCACTGACAGGTTAGGCTGAAAAGCAATTCACTTGCACGCAGAGTGGCATGTCTGTGCTCCAGAGCAGGCAGTCAGCACTGCAGCCAGCTCGGAATCAGACATTGTGCAGGCAGGCGGGTGGGCAAGGAAGAAGGCGAGGGCACAGGGAGGTTGGAGGGGGCCCTGGGGGAGCAGTGGGGCAGGGGTGTCAGCGCTTGCCTTGGTTTTGTAAGGTCGATGGGGTATGTGTGCACGTATGTGTATTGGAGGCAAAGGGCCTGCCACAGTGAAAAGCTGGAAGATTAGGGCATGGATGAAGGCATGTGCTCCTGGGACACAGTAATAAGCACGGGGGAGGGGGGAGGAACAACTATTGTGGGTCATACAACTTGCACTTGGCAATAGACTTTCATCTGAGGAACTACATTTGTGTGGTTATCTCTGTTTATGTGCACAAACTGCAGCCACGCATGGCAAGACCTGTACAGGGAGATACATATGTTTCTGGGTAGAATGAAAGGGCTTGTGTGTTTTGCTTTTGATATGAACAAATGCCGGAGGCCTTTGGAAGTGAAGCAAGGGACTGCAGGATTGTTTGTTAAGCCCAACATGGGATGGCTGATGCGGGGAGTTGAGACTGGGAGATGGAAGGAGAGAGAAGGAAAAAGGACCAGAAAAAAAATCGATCTGGCCCCAGAGTCGAACCTCAACTGAACAAAAACTGCTCTTGGGGAAATGATTGTGTCTGGGGTACCAGGACAAATTCTGTGCCCCCACTCACCACATTCTTGGTGCAAACGGTTGAGTGATGGCCGAACATGTTTTGAATAGCTAAGTGACTTCATTGAGCGATGTCTATTTGACGCATACTGCATTTGGTGCCCTTTCTCAATCCAAGCTGCTGCCTTTAACATATTCTGCAGAGGGGCTCTCTGCAGAATACTATATGCTCTTCCCTAGCCGGAGAATCAATATCAGAAAATTAATAGGGACTGTTTTAAACACACACGCACACACACCCCTCCTTTTAAAAAAAATGAAGAGCCTTTCATACGGCTAGTCATTAGCAGTGGAGAGACTTCCATTTAATTAAACATTTATGACAGACTTTTATTCCAAAAGAGAAGAAAAGCAAACTGAATGAGGGTTGCTTTAGGGAAATGATCATAGCCTCTCTGGGATTTTAGTTAGATGGATAGAGATATGTCACTAAAAGATTACAGAGGGAAGACAGGACAATATTTTAGGCAAAACGTGACCAGTAATTGGTGAGTTGTCATAAATACGCTTTTTTGCTTGTCCAATTCTTAAGGTGTGTAATTGTTAATAATTCATAACTGCCAGTAGACCAGAGCATAAGAGGTAGCTCCGGATCACTTGTGCATTAAAAGGCCTAAGTATTTTCATTAAAATCCCATCTGTTTGGTGCCCACATCCTCAAATTACCCACTCCCTTGCAACTTTCTCACCAAGCCGCACAGCCTCTTGCTCTCCCCCTGAATCATCCGGAAAAGGTTAGAATTGCAACACTGGCTAAGGATTGTGGAGTGTGCAGGCAAGCTGTCGATGTAGCCTGGCAGGACGCTTTCCCCAGTGAAAGGCCAAGCAGGCAGGGGAGGACCGAGCCGGGCCCCACTCAGGGCTCCTGCTACTGTCCACTTGTAGCCAAGGCCTCAACAGTCAGGGTGATTGCCCAAGGCCCCAGGCTACCCTGGCCTTTAATTTCCAAAACCTCTGTAGAAAATGGGGCTTTCAGACCTGGGACCACGTTGAGAAGTTGACTCAGAGATTTTAAACCACTTCTCCCCAGAGATGGCATTTCTTCCCAATAGTTATAAGTGCACAGATTTCCATGGGCTCTTCCTATGGGTGTTGATACGCCTGTGTTTTTGAGCATCAAAAACAGGGTCGGCCTTTGCAGATATCACATTGTCAGTGCTTCCGGTTCCCACTACCTGGCTCTCTGGGGATAAAGTGGACTTTCTAAAAGATCCGAGCCTCTCTCTTCCCACCACCTCTTGATGTGTGTTTTCTGCTCATCCTCGTAAAGTTGTGAACAGATTTCAAACCTTTTTCCCAAGATGCTGCTAATGACTCCAGGTGAAAGACAACCTTGTCTTCTAATCCCATTTTGCTCTCTGGTTCTTGTTAGAGTTTTTTATGCCTGGAGCTGATTTTTGTCCTGATCAACCTCTTGATGAAATACAAAGTAGAATTGTACACCCTTGCCTCTATGGTTGCTTCTGAAATTAAATGGATCTGCCAGAGAATAGAAGGGATGTGACCACCTGTTAGGGGCAGATGCAGGGAGAGGGGAAAGTGATTAGGAGAAAATATCGTTTATTCCTAACCCTCTGCAGAGTTAATAACAATTCTCTCTCTGTGTGTGTGTGTGTGTGTGTGTGTGTGCTTGAACTACCTAGCAGGCTGGATTCCTTAATGGGATTTGGGGAGAAAGGCAAAGGGGGAGGGAGGGTTGGCTGCTACACATGGATACAGGGAGGCAGAGAGTGGTAGGGGAAGTTCTTGAACTTTTCAGGAAAGCTATGTTAACAGCTTACAGATGGAGAGATGACACTGGCCCTTTCAGAAAAGAGTTCAGTAAAATCTGCACCAGGGCACTGAAACTGCTCACTGCAGGCAAGGTGTCTCTGGGCTGCGTGGTGGCTGGCCGCTTAGGATATTAACCTCTGTTGTCACAGCAAGGGACTGTCGTCTCCAGGGGCAGCAAAAAAAAATCCACTTTTTGTGTTCATTCTATCTTGTGCCTTCTTCCCTTCTGTTTGGGCTTCACGCCTCCCCCGGAGGATTTGCAGCCCTGCAGAGGAGGAGCCAGCCACTGGTACAACGTGTCTGTGGCAGAAACAAACCATCCACGCCACTTCTCTCCCTCTCTCTCTCTCTCTCTCTGTCTCTCTCTCTCTCCCCCCCCCCTTAGAAAGGACAGCTGATTATAGGGTACACACAGCACCAAGCTTTTTCCCTACACAGACTTCTCAGTCCCGTCTATGGAGCGTCTCTGCCATCAATGGCTTCTCCTGTCTCCCCTTCTGTATGCTGTTTGCTCACAGGGACTGGGCATGCCAGGCTCCATCCTTTGCTCTCTTGCGAGCAAGAAAGGGTTTCCGTGTTCTGAAATCCTCTTTCCTGAGTTCATCACTGCGTCGCTTTTGCTTCTCCTGTGAAGTGACAGAGTGAGCCAGGCTCAGTTCGACTCTGGCTTTCTTGTTGTAGAGCAAGGAAAGTAGATGTTGTTTGTTTCATCTGAGGAAAGTCACCTGTCTTTCCCAGGTACACTTTCCTTTAAGCGGGGATGAGCTGAGTGTGGAAGTTACTAATGGTCCCTCATACTGGACATATTATTGCTCCATTATCTCCAGGGTGAATCAACTCCTGGAGGTACTTGCACATAGTAGGTACACAAGAAGCATTTTTTAGTGCATGGATTTGGGATTTCTTAAAATTATTGAGATGAATTAAAGCATCATAATGGCATGTGATAATCAAGTAATCAAGACCAAAAAAAGAGAGCTAGAGAAAGATATGGGGAACAGGAAGTGAGGTAGTCAGAGTGACTTGTTTGTTCTTCCTGGAACTTCTTTTTTTTTTGAAAGAATAATAATGAGTCATGAATTCACTATTATAAAGAAGAGAACTCAAAAGAGGAGCCCGTCATTTGGTTGCACAGCTCCTAATTGGCTAAAGTGAAGGCACATTATTCAAGGGAAGGTAGAGAAAATATGCGTGATGGGGAACAAAAACCAACCAACAGTTTTTCTTTCCTTTTTTGCTTTTAAAGTATATGCAGGTTGAGTTTAAGCTTTGCATTCTCCAGAATAAACCCCACAGGGCAAAAGAACAGGCATTAATCATGGGTGCTTCTCACTTGATTTCTGCACTCCATTCTCTTTACCGAGCCTCCCAGCCAACTTCCAAGATCTTTCAGCTTCCCCTCCCAACGTCCTGGGTTCTAATCAGTGTTCTCCACCGCATTCTCCACGACCGTCTCCACCCCCATTTCACTGAGCCTCCTTCACCAAGAAATGTTTCTCAGGTTCTTGCTCATTCACACCCCACCCTTGCCAATGCCTCTGATTTTTGGGGTGGTGAAAATGAGGTGCATGGGTGTGAAAGGCATGCCAAGGTCACCTGGGTGGAAATGGCAGAGCCAGGACTTGATTCCAGACCTTTCGTGACTCATTCATCTGCGTTTTCACCCTGCCCTGTGCACTTCCAAATAATCCACAGAGGGGTCTTCACTGGGCCATTGACCAGTGTGGGCTTTGCTCAAGTTCATGACCAGGATAGCTTTCAG